AGCCTGGATTCAAGCAAGCAGCCGTTATCAGAAACCGCTGTTGGAAACATCACTGCTACAAGCCTGTTCAGTTTGGAGTCTGGCCGCAGCTGTTAACAATGTGCCACATAGGTGTCCTTCCACCAGCAGGCCCATCCCTGGGCGTCTGTCTGGAGCTGTGGAATAGTATATATTGTGGACTGAATTGTGCCACCCAAATTCCGTGACTTTATAACCCCTACAGGTTGAGAATGTGCCTGTAGTTGGATGTGTGGTCTTTCAGGAAGTGACTGGGGTTCAGTGAGTTCATCGGGGTGGGTCCGAATCCAGTTAGGACTGGTGTCCTTAGAGGAGGAGGGGAGGACACAGGACAGCACAGAGGGACGTCCAGGTGACACAGAGATAGAAGACGACCACGTACGAGTGGAGAGAGACCCCTGAGGAGAAACCAGCCCTGCCAAACCCCTCATCTCTCACTCGTAGACTTCGGGATGATGGGGACATAAATGTCTGCTGTTTACAGCACCCCAAGTCGTCCTATGTGACGGCAGTCTGAAGAAACTAATCCAGTGCATTAGGACGCACAACCACACTCTACTAGAACACAGGTGGGAAAGGATAAATAAGGACACCCTCCCCCTTATTAAAACAAAACCCATCCACTAACTCAAGGTTATTCCAAAAGGAATCTTTCCACCAATAGCACTAGAAATCTAAGTGAGAGAACCCCAAGAGAAAGGTAAAACCAAGGCAGGGACCTGGACCATAAGGTTTAGCCAGACCTCACCATAAAGAGAAGGTTCTTTACAAGGGCTTGCTGCCTTTTTTGCTACAGAGACGAAAGACAGGTAGCTCCAAACATGGCTGCCATTCTCACAGAGCCTACAGCCCTCAGACAAGGTAGCATCGATGTCTCTTTGAAAGTTCTCTCATTACGAAAACTTGTGAGACACACGGTTGGGCTGCGGGGCCTCTTATCTCTCCTTGAACATCTTATGAAGCCCCTTACCACTCACAGTGTTGTTTTTCCCCTCAGCTGAGTGGGCAGACCAGGACAACATAAATACCTCAGCTCTAAGACACCAGTGAAAACTTTCCTGAGGAAAATGCCCTCCCCTCGGCCCCAGCAACAAAGCTAAGCATTTGTCTCCAAAGCTCACTGTGAGGAACTGATATCTTACTCCTCATGTCCCTAACAGAGTACCTTCACTTCGGGGGTCCCACTTAAAGAGGTGACATTTTCTCCCATGTACCTCACAGCCCCCATTAACATGCCACTCCCACCAAAAACACAGGGGAGTAAGATTCTAGGCTATTTGAAAACAAGGGCCATAAAGTTTACTAGTTCCTTTATGTCTCCCCACAGGACCTTGTGACTCAATAATTTAGTGGTTGAGAGTGGGGACATCTGTGGGGGAGATGTCAGCTGAAGACTTAAGAAAACTGTTCTCCCCCAAAATGCAAACATTCCTCCTCTTTTCCTGAAGGTTCTTTGCTGCCCTTTCACATCCTGCATCTTCTCATGCTGAGCCCCTCAGCCTGCACCACTGGCTCTGCCTTCTATCTCATAACTGGTTGGCAGGGACTGGGGCTCCTGGGCTCCCCACTTGGACACCTGCTGAGCCACCAGGCCCTGTGCGCAACTGCTGTCCTCTTTCCCTTCAGCCAGGCTCCAAAGCTTCACACCATCTTCCATCCGGGCCCACTTCCCACACCCTCAGACTCTTCCACTCATACCAGGTAAACCCTCCCTCACGCTTTCACCAGTCATTAAGAGAAACCTGGTCCCTCCTTCCTCTTCTCAGAACCCTTCCAGGGCTCCCCCACAGCATCTATGCCTTCATGGACCCCTCACCTTTCTAACCTCTGCTCTCGCCACATGCGGCCACCAGTTGTGCCCGTTATTGCTTGTCCCTCAGCAGGAACTGCCCCCACCCCCTCCACCTCCAAGTACTCTTTCACATTAAGCCCGGCTCCAGCTGCCTCCATGAAACCTTTCGTACTCACTCAGGTCAGAACCAGTGTCCCTCCTGGCACAGCCCTTGTCTCAGCTGTCCACTAGACCACTCACTTCACTCTGCCTTTCTGTGGAAAAGTCCGTCTCCTGAGAATATAAAGCCCTTGGAGACGGGGGCCTGGAGGTCATCATGTTCCTCTCACGGTGCCTCAGTGCTTTGTAAACAACGTGCCCTTTATAAACTTCTGAAATGAAATGAGACAAAATATATCGCCAGCTCTCCAGAAAAACGTGTGCTCTTCCCAGGGATAAAATCCACCACCCAGACAGGCTGCTCCTCAAAGGGAGCCGAAGCTCTTTTACCATCACGAACATTTGGGGCCCAGCGTGCCGGCTGATAGTAGGAATGAGGGAATCAATGAACGAATGAATGGAGGGAGCCATACGAGGGACCAACACTGAAGGCTCTTCCACAAGTTCCAGCTGGACTTTTGGTGCTCACATGCCTTTCCCCAGAAGGGAGTAACCACTCCCCATGGTTTCAGAAGAAAATGCACTTTCTTTGGCAGGTCCCAGCCCTGGGGTCTATTTTTCCCCACACAAGGGCTGGTGTTCTCTTCTGCAGCTCACCAGAGACGCCGAGGGGACAGGGTCGAAGCCCAGCACCTGGGCGGGAGGCCTGGCCATGGGAGGTGTTATGGTCACAGGTGCGTCCAGGTGGAAGCATCTCGCATGGAGTAGGCTTGTGCACTCCCTTCTGGCTTTTTAAATTACACACTTCATCAGTTTCTCCTTCTCTAAGAGGAAGGAAACAAACCAACTCCAGGAAACTGCGACAGAAAAACGACAGGGAGCCACTCGCCTTTACATTCATATTTGTGGTTTGTTTGTTTTGCTTTTTATTAATTTTTTCCTAGAAAAAAAAAAGCCAACAACAGGGGAATTTATAGGACAAACTATCAGTGTTGGGATGGCAGGGGAAAAGAGAAAGGCTAGGGGCGTGGGAAGCTAATAAAATAAAAAGTGGGTTCCAAATCATGTGGAACAACCCACAGGGTCATGTCTGGGTCCTAGTGAGATGACTGGTCACTGTGGCATGCGTGTCCGATGCCTGGTCTGCCCCTCAGATACCCGTGGTCCACGAGAGCTGGCCAAACCCTGGAAATCTGCCAAAGACAAACTCGAACTTGACAGAAAGACAAGACAATGCAGCTCCTTAGCTTTGTGTGTGGGTATCACACACTGCCTGAGAGAAGTCTGGAAGTGTGAGAGCCGCCATGGGGCACACTTGACACCACAGGGAACTCCAGGCAGCCGTTCACTCAGGTGCACACACGGTCTTCACCATCCACAGGGGTCTGTCCAGATATCCCCAGGAAGCCTGGCCGAAGGACAAGCCATGCCAGTCCCTTCCTAGCCACACTTCGACAGTGGTGTCCATTCTCCAGTTTTGCTGTCGCCTGTAGGAGACTAGGATCCATCTGTTGGTCAGCTCGGCACTAGACACTGATTCCAAAGAAGCCTGGCCATCTGGATCCCCACTGAAGGTCTCGAGTTTCTCAGACTTTATGCCCAGATCTCAGGGCAGAAAATTCAGCCAGACCCAAGGCCATGTGTGCCAAACAGGGAAGCCAGAGTGATGGCTGGGCCAGAAAGAGCCAGTAGCACACTCAAGACCAAAGTACATTCAAGAAGGGGAGGGGGCATGCAGCAAGCGTTGCCCCAAGTCAGTCTAGGGGATACACAGCCTGCAGGACACAGCCATGCCTGTGAGTGTGACGCCTCACGCAGCAGGGCTGGCTGGTGTGGTTCCAGGGCGGAAGCCGTGGGTTCCGGCACTGCTCTGGCCCGTTCCCGCATGGAGGCCAGGTTACATCTCAGTGCCACAGTCCTGAGGAGCACCACGCTGGCCGGCCAGCCAGGCCACAATCCTCAGCCCCCCACTGCCGGGGCTCTGGGTTCCATGGGGAGGCCACTGGGAGGGGGGCAGGGAAGAGGGCTGCATTCTGCCGGGGGAGTCAGGGAGGAGCTACCATGGGCTGGAAGGAGTTGAGGCCCCAAACACTGCAGAGCCCAAAAGAATGGGGTAGATATTGGAAAAAGGACAACAGTCTTGTCACTAGTTTAAAAAGAGATTATTGTTGCTGTGGCTTGGTTTTGTTTTTCCTTTTAAAACCACCCACATTTTAAAAGATGAGGGGGCTGGGGTGATTCAGCCCTTCACGCTGATCCTTTCTGGGCACCCAGAGGCCAGGCCCACACCCACTGCTGCTCTCCTTGTCCGGGTTCCAGCCACTGAGGCCAGGGCAGGGAGCACAGCTGCTCTGCTAGTCCCCATCAAAGCAGAACACGGGGGATGGGAAGTCCAAAGACTAAAGTGCAGAGACTCCCACAGAGAGAGCGGGTGGCCTAGTACTGGGCACTACGAGACGGAGGGGGGCGGAGGGACAGGGTCGGCCCCGAGCCGCAGCTGTGGAACAAACGCTGACTATGAAGAAAGCCTGCAGGGCAGTCCCCTTTCCCTTGGGCCCTGTTGACACTTCAACCTGGGCCTGTCCACGGTCAGCAGCTTCCCATGGAAAGTTCTGGTCTCAAAGATTAGGCCCAAGAAGGGAGAAAACTTGTATGGCCATCCCTGGCTGGTAATGACTATTGACCTCAGGGACTGCAAGGTGGCAAGAGGTGAAACAGTGCATGATATGAAATCCATGAACCCTAGGTTTCCAGAGCAGGGATACACGTGAACAGCCAAAAGGTGGAGTGCCTCCCGGGGGGGTGGGGGGGTGGATGAAGATGGTCAGTCCTACCCTGGAGCCTGCGGCAGAAGGCCCTCCCCTGGGGGGGTGGAGGGGGTCCTGCAGCTGGGGGCGGGGCTGCAGAGGAAAGCCCGCCCACATCAGGGCGTGTAGGCCGGGGGCGGCTGGAATTGGTTGATGACCTCGTACTCAGCGGGGTAGGGTTCCGTCTCCTCCATCTCGGAGAGCAGCTCTAGGGCCTGCTCTTCCTCCTCCGTGGGGTAGTGGCGCAAGAGGTTGGCTGCTGTGGCCAGGATGGAGGCTCCGCCAGCTCCCGCCACCAGGTAGAAGCTAACGGCAAAGGTGACATACACCTGGGACCCATGGTACTTCTTATGTTGCTGCTGCTGGGCCAGGATGAGTTCGGAAGCCCAGTAGGAAAAGCCGATGACGGTGGCACACTGCAGGACTGGGGGACAGGGACAGCACAGAAAGGGGGTTAGCAGGCATGCTACAGCCTCTCTACCCAATCCCCATGGCCGGCCCCTGCAAGGGGCGCTCTAGGCTGTGGGGTTCTCAGGCTAGGGCTGGGCACAGATGCCTGACCCCATCTGGGTCAGTTGGTCTCTCAGTCTTAAGAATCTGGAATCAGGATACACGGGCTGCTAGGTGTCACTGGGAGCCTGAAAGGAAGTTTGGGAGCTGAAGTCGACACCATACAAGTCAAATCACCCGTCAGCAGTCATGACTGCAGGAAGCGGGGAAGAACCCGATGAGACCATGCACTCCAGGGAGACATACTAAGACACTGGGTCCTTCCTTGCTGGTTCCAGGCCCCAGGAGCCCAGCTGAGCTTTGAATCCAGTTCCTGGAGAGCTGTGAAAACTTTTGTGGAATTACAACAGCATTCCCTCCTGACAGCTGGGCCGAATGGGCTGTGTTCCTGCCAGGTATGCAAGGTCTGACAATTAAGTTCAAGAACTTGTTGCAATGATGTTGCTAACCTTTTCTTTTTAATATACTTTTTTTTTTTTTTCATGCGGGAGTTGAACCAGCAACCTTGTTGTTAAGAGCGCATGCTCTATCCACTGAGCCATCTGGGCAGCAGCGCAGCTCAAGGTGTGGAGTTCAGTCCCAGCCACAGGTGGGTGTAGCCCTAACCTTTTTTGATAGCAGAGGGATTATTCATTATGAATGTGTACCAACTGGACAGTTAACCAAGTTTACTATTTGGAAGTGCTGAAAAGGCTGCATGAAAAAGTTAGATGACCTGACCCTTTCGCCAACAATTCATGGCTCTTGCATCACGACAATGCACCAACTCACACGGCAGTGTCTGTGAGAGAGTTTTTCGCCAGTAAACAAATAACTGTATTGGAACACCCTCCCTACTCACCTGATCTGATTCCCAATGACTTCTTTCTTTACCCAAAGATAAAGGAAATATTGAAAGGAAGACATTTTGATGACATTCAGAACATCAAGGGTAATACAATGACAGCTCTGATGGTCATTTCAGAAAGAGTTCCAAAATTGCTTTGAAGGGTAAACTAGGTACTGGCGTAGGTGCATAGCTTCCTAAGGGGAGTACTTCGAGGGTGACTGTAGTGATATTCAGCAATGAGGTATGTAGCACTTCTTCCAGGATGAGTTCATGAACTTAATTGTCAGACCTCGTGCATGCAAATGACAGAAGCAACCTGCTATCACACCCAGTGCTCCAGGAACAGCTAGAGCTGAAAGGAGCACCTGGACTGGTGTCTGCCCAGAGAAACCCCACCAGCAACTACAGACAGGGTGCCTGCCCCGCAGCAGTTCCTCCCCCACCAGGAGCAGGGCCCAGCTTGCCTGTGAGAATGTGGGCGAAGGCATAGCGACGGGTGATCTTCAGGGCTGGATGTTTGGGCCCAAAGACATCCAGAAGGAAGGCGGAGAGACTGCACAGGATGCCCAGGAAGCAGAAGGCGGCAATGACCCGGAGGAGCAGCACCGTCTGGGGGTTCATGCAGAAATCTGCAGGGGAGAACCAGATCTTCAGGGCCCCAAGCAAAACCCTGGAGCAGGAAGGCCCCCCGGGAGGGGGTTGTCCCCCTCCGCCACAGTGCTGGGGAGCCAGGGGAGTCCTGGGGGAGCGGTCATAGCTCCTGTTCCCAGCTGGCCCACAGAGGAGGCGGCCCAGCCCCTAAATCAGCAGACAGGAACCCTGGCCACCACTCCCATGCACTCAGCTCCTCTGCTTCCAACAGAAGCAGTCTAAGTACAGGCCTCCACTTCGTTCTACTTGCCACTCTTCTAACCAGTGTTAAACGTCCGGACAATTAATCCTACACATCAGCCCATTCTGCTAAAGCACACTCTGGGCTGCAGGAAGAGCCCACTGACTTCTGAGATGAGGCGGGCCAGAGGCAAGGCCAGAAGCCGGTCGGTGTCGACGTCTATCCAGACACTCACTCATCTGCTTTCTGTTAAAAAAGATGATAAAGCCATTCGGAAAAACGGGTCCTTACAAGAGAGTACTAAATAAATTAGAAAAGATGGTGGACTGGACCTTCCCATTTATTTTTGTTTGATCCCCATTTATTTTTGTTTGCTCCCCAAACGTTACTAAACAAAACAATTTCAAAGCATAAATCCACACAAAGAGGAGAGGGGCAAAACCACTCTGGAAACTGGAAAGGGACTTGGAGCTGCTTAGGACTGAGTTAACAGACTAGATAAACTAAAGGGTAAGCCTGAAGGGCGAAGGCTAAGAAGCCTCTACATTTCACTACAAAAGGGTGAGAGGTTCAGAAATGACCCACCAAATACCATCTAAAATGAAGGCAAAGCCACTGGAGGGGTGCACACCCCACCAAAATGAGGGAGTGAAGCAAGGAAAAGGAAGATACTAAAGCAGGAGAACCAACATTCAGAGTCCCTGGAGTCCTGGTGAAGGGAGAGCCCATGATGACAACTGTACACCAGACACACAAAGAAACCTAGATTTACTTCTAGGACCGTAAGACCATCTTGTTTTTTTTTCAATTTCGTCTAGAGAACAACACTGTCGAACCCCTGTGATATCTGAGCAAACTGCCACAGCTCCCAGAAACACACAGACAGAATAAAGGCTGGTCCAAAAAGAAGCCGCTGTAATTAGCTTTAATAAAAAGTAGGAAATAGGCCTTAACTTCCTCTTCCTCCTCTATTCCAGCCACTGGCAAGCTCTGCTTTCATTTAGGTCATCGGTCACCAAGGATTTAGGAAAATCTGGAAAGGGCTGGCAGGATTTAGACTACAGGCTCCTTCCCTGAATCCTGACCTCAGGTGAGAGGTCATCTCTCTCCAGGACACATCACAGTCACTGGGGTGCTGGTTGAAACCACGTTCCCAGGCCCCAGAGATTCTGGAAGAAGGCTGAGGCATCTGGATTTTAACAAGTGGCCCAAGCCTTACACTCCAAGAAACACTGCTTCTGGGCCTAGAGGAAGTGGGACTGAGAAGAAAAGTCCAAGAACCTGGGGTGAGGACCTGCACCCAACAAAGCCGACTCACACCCAAAGACACTGCATGGTGGGGTCTCAGGCACAGGGTCAGCCTCCATACCACAGAACCACATCAAATACCAGGAGCCCCTGGGCCTTTGTGACAGCTTGTCTTCCCTCCGTCAGGCTCAGAATTCACCAGATGGTGGCTGAGCCCACACCAGACTCATGCTGCAATCTGGCTTCAGGTCACCCACTAAGCTGCCCTCAGAGTTATCTGTCACTCTCTTGTCAGCTGACCATGTTTTGGGCCCAACCATCCAGCCTGGTGATCGCCTACTGCCAGGAAGCCTGCCTGTGCATTGGCTCTGCCAGCCAGCAGGCCCAGCCCTCAGCTATTCCAGCCCTGCACAGCCTAAGGCCATGCTGTGGCTAATAGGACGCCTCGCGGAAGGAAAAGCTCCTAGAACCTGGCTGGGCTGTCTCCTGGCTTTATTCTGAATACTGTGAAAAGCTCTTCTTAGGGTCCACAGGGCAAGAGGCAGGGACGGGGCAGGACAAAGGTCTTCGAGTGCTTCCGAGTAACCTGTGGGCAGGCGGGTGCTGGTGTAAGGGCCTCACCACACTCAGCACAGCGATGGGCTGTATTCAGTTACACTTGGAGTGGCCTTCAACTGAGGTTCCTAAAAATTAACCAAGTTTTAATTTAACAAGTCTTAACTAAAAAAAGTAACGGTGGCTTCAAAGAGCATTCTTAGGCTGCGCAATAAGTACGAAGTTTCATTTTATTATCATCTTTTAAAATGTACACCTATTATATACACTCCCATGTATCTCGTGTTTCCTAATACACTTGTTTTGAGAATAAAGAGGAGTCACACATGATAAAAAGCTTCAGAGGACAGTTTCTCATGTCCCCCTCAGGAATAGCCCCTGCAGCATGTCAAGCGTTACCCTAGTTAAGCCTCATTTGCTCTGGGGATCCACCATGCGCTCAGATGAGGGCCCAGGACTACAAGAGGGTAAGTGCCTTCCTCCGGGTCCCATAGTGCAGAGCTAGACTCCACAACTGGGCAGGCTCCCTGGCACCATGGTGCTCGGAATCGCCCGAGGTAGCCCTTATCTTTCCCTGATGGAGATAATCCACCAAATGCTCAAGAGCTGCATTTGAAGCCAGGGTCGAAAGTTAACAGGAATGCTGCCAGTGCTACTCTCAGAGCCAGCAGCTGCTGAGCTCACTGAGGGACCAGCTGGGAGCACGAACGCCCTTCTAGGCAAAGCAGGTTTGGGCCATTAAGCAATTCAAAAATGGTCATCCTGGGAATTACTAGGCAAAACTTGCCTGGTGTGGTCTAAGCTTCTGCAGCCATCAGAGCCCAGCTCTTGGAAGCAATGGGGACACCAGAAAGACACTGGACTTGGCACCAAATGCTAAACATACCACAGACGAATATGTGTTAACCTGAGCAAGTCACTTAGCTACCCTTGGCTTCTGCTCTCTCATCCATCAAATGAAGGCGGGCTCTCCTGCCCCATCTACACAGGGGCGCTGCTGGGAGAAAGAACGTACAGTGGCCTGCGCTGTTACTGTCCCCTCCCTCCACGCTGGCCCACAGCAGTGTCAGCCCGGTGTGCACTTCCTCCTTACTTCCTCCAGTGTGGGCCAGAGGAAGAGCCCACCTAAGCCAGACTGCCCTTCTGCCCCTCCAGAGTGATGACACGGTACAGACGAGGGTCTATGACCCCAAATTCACAGGTTTTGTTTCAACCTATCTGCCTTTCTCCACTCCAAAGTGGTGAGTAAACCCTCAGGCTTCACAGAGAAAACAAATGTACACTTCCCTTGGCGGGAAGCTAACGGATACCCAAGAGCCTATCCCACAGCCCAGGCCGTCTTTCATCGCAGGGTCTCAGTACACAGAAGACAGGCAGAGTGTCCCAGACACGCTTAGAAACCAGCTCAGGCTCTCCTGGGCCAGAGTCTCAGTGTCTCTTTCTCTCCTCCCCTTCCAGAGGTCAGTGTGGCTGGGAGGACCACGAATATCTGCTGCTTTGAGAGAGTTGCTAAAGAGAAACAGAATCCCAAGCATTGTGTAGGCATGTTATTTGTGGGGAGAAGTGGTACGTGGGGTAGGGTCCTCATTTAAATTCAAACCAGTGGTGCAGTCCACCACTCTGATAAGACAGAGCACAGTCAATCCTCCAGCCGTGGCCTGTTTATTTTGGTAACTACTGCTTGACTGACCCCTCCAATCACCAGGGGAAAAGGCAGCTGCTGTGTAATAGGATCCCAAGGCACTGACTTTGCCCAAGGTCACTGGTGAGTCACAGGGCATGATGTGTTTTGAAGGCCTGGCTCTTCTGTCTACCTGCCCATTGCTCTCACCCCCTCCTGACCCAAACAGGCTGCAGGCAGGAAGAGTAAAGTGGCTTCTGGCCAGTTCCCTTTTCTGTCCCATCTCTCCTCTCTTCCCCCATCACTGGAGTCCCTGTGAGTTTGAGGCACTTCCCCACAGCCCCGTCCTTCTCAGCACTCATCCCTCTGTCCTACCTGCATAGCCTCTCCCCACTGTGACTTAAGCTTCTAGACAGGCCTAGGACACAAGACACCAACAGAGCCCCCTAGTGCCTGGCTGGCCCGCCACCACAGATACCAATGGTCCTAGCCAAGCCGCCTAAGGACAGGCCCCGCAGGACCTGGAAGTGCCAGCAGCATCAGTCACCACCCCTCAGGCACACCTGCCTTCTCTGGATGGCCCTTGACCTTCCCATGGCTTGGTGTCAATTATGACTCACCTGACTTCAAATCCCAAACTTCCTCATTCTCCAGTTGCTTCTGGAGGCTGCTGTCAGTGCTGCCCTTTGCTGGCCACACTTGAGAGGATGCAGGGGATTGGGGTGCAAGGGAAACAATTATCTGGGCCCCTTGTCTGGAGCACTAGCGGCCTAAGCATATCTTTGGACCTGGGCCCAGAGAGAATGGAAGGTTCAGGATGCAATCTGTTGAGCCTTGGGGCTCTGGCCCTGCGAGTGACAGTGGGAGGTGAATGGCTCTGCTTCAGCATCACCAACTTGAGCCGGAACACTGAGGCCACAGGGGTCAGAAGCACAGCTTTGGCAGGGCTTGTGAGAACACTCAAGTAGAATGCGGAAGTAGTAAGCTTTGGACTGCTCTGACAGAAGGAGAAAGAAGCTGGGGCGGCGTTAAGAGTGGATGTAAGAGTAGAGGCCACACCACGAAGACAAACTGTGTGGCCCTGAGCAAGTCACCTGACCTCCCTGAGCCTGAGACTGCTCTGAAGTGGCGGTGATGACAATACCTACCAATTGAGGGGTTGTTTAGGAGAAATTAAAGCCAGGCATGGAGTGTGCTGAGCACAATGCCTGGCCCCAGGCAGGGGCCCAAGAAACAGGATTCCCTGTCATCTGCAGAGACCTGGTAGGGTCTGTTCTCCCTCTGAAAGCATCTATAGGGACCAGACCCGGCTTCCCTGTCAGGACATCTGTTAGGCCCTGAGGATCAGCATAAGCACACAGGACAGCATGTCTGAAGGCTCACTGGGTACCAAAAAACCAACAGACAGAGACAAAAGGGAGAAGAGAAGCAATAAAGGACCCAACTCCTTGCCACCTTCTATGATAGCTCATGAGGGATCATGTCAACTCTCTTATGAATGCAAACCAAGTGTTTCTGGTTTGCAACGGCCAAGAACATGGCCACAGACAGCAGGCTGGGACTGTCCATGGGTGAAGAGCACTAAACACACAGGCAAAAGTAATGTAAAGGTAAAGTGACGTGCTTTACGAAAGACAACACCTGGTTCGAGTAGTTCCTTACTGAGGGTAAACAGATGCGAATAAAGGAGAGCCTGCAGCAAGAGCTGGTTTTTTACATGCCTTCGGCAAGGACGCACAACAAGATGGAATAATCCTGAGATCATTCCTGTGACAGCTGAAAACAAAGGATAAAAAACCAAAGAAGACAGCATCATTTTATACTGAGTCAAGAGAAGAGAGGCAGACGCAGCTCTGCCACCCCCAGCCATGTGGCCCCATAGAGACCACTTCACTTCTCTGAGACACAGCTTCCTGGGTCTCTGAAATAAGGACCTGATATCAGACTCTCTCCATCACATGGCCTCCCCAGAAATGACCTGAAAGGGAGAAGCATCAGGAACTCTCTCCCAGTTTATAGGTGACACCAAGCTCCAGAAACACTGAAACACCAGGGAATCAGTGCAAAAGCCTGCACAAAGTGGTGGGAAGGTGGCGGTTGTGTTTCAAAGATGGCTGGTGAAGAGAATGCGCTGAGGGACAACCATCCAGACTTTGCTCCAGCTTGATGGCGTTTCTGCCATCAGCCACACGCCAGAGAAAAAGCGGCATGTCACAAGGCCTCCTTGTGTCTTAACGTCTGTCTTAACGAACCAGCCCAGAGAAGGCTATCATTACGGAGGAACCTGAAAACAAACCAGAAGCCCCCATCCTGTTCTCTACAAAATCATCCTAAAGCCTCAAAATCCCAAGTGAGATGCAAAACAGTCAGAGAACTCTCAAAGACAACATTAGGCCACAGGGATAGAGCTTTTCAGCCTGGACCTGCCAAAGTGGTGTATAACCCAAGGCCCAGAGGAGAACTTGAGCTTTTCACCAAATCTCAGTGCATGAGTCCATAAACAAGCGACTTAAAGATATCTAACAGGAAGGACTTCTGAGACATGGGGCAGCAAACATCTGCAAGGCATCACAGCCAGTGAGTGGCACAGGGAAAAATTACAAAGACCTATAAGAATGGTCCAAAAGACCATGGGGTGATGAACTGTGCTGTTACTAAGGGCTGTGTGGGGTCCGCTGATCAGTTTTCAGGTAAAAGCCAGGCAGTGCAGTCCTGCCCTCATACCACACAGCCTGTACTCTCATTGCTGGAGACAGGACTGGGCAGGAGCAGCCCCGTGGTCATGGCCTCCCCCGTGTCTGGTAAGGAGACCAGTCCCTTTCCCCTCTCCTCTGCCCACCCTCTGGGAAGCATGATGAGCACAGTGACCTCACCTCAATCAGACACACATGTATGGTTCCAACTGCTTTACTGAGGCTGGAACTGACTCCTGATTATTGAAAATAACACTGACTTCCCTTTTCTATAATAAAAACCCAACTGTAGCAGAGCTCAAAAATAGCTTTTAAAATCCAGCCATATTTAAAAGTTCCTTTTTCTCCATCAATCAGCTGCCCCAAAGAAACCTTTCTACATCCCACAGGCTCTGTATTGGGGCCAGCTAATTGTAATGCCTAGCACCTTGTTTTTACCCCATACACAGCGCCTTTCTGGTAGAATCCTAAAACAGCAGCAGTCCAGATTAGCATGGCATGAAGTGTAGGTGCTTGGCAGAACAACACCTTAATTAACGAGGGGCGGTACCCCAAATAGAGCCACCTGGTGGGAATGAACTCCAGGCAGGAATGGGGCTGTTTCCTTCAACCAAGTCCTGCCCCTGGCTATCTCAGCTCCAGCTCACACCACATTCTTCGGCTCCCTGCCCCGCCGAGGAGCCCCGATCGCCCAGGAAGAAGAGGGCCGGCACGCAGCGCCCTTACCTTTCAGCAGGTCCGGGTGCACGTAGCCCAGCACGTCGGAGACCCCCAGCTCCTGGCGGGAACAGGTGCCACCGTGGATGTGTAGCCAGGCGGGCTCGGCGAGAGCAGTGCACAGCGCCGTGATGGAAAGGGCTCCCGGCAGCGCCGAGGCCAGGCTACGCTCCGGCTGCTTGGGCAGAGCGCTGCCTCCCGGGCTCCTCCGCCGGCGCCCGCCGGGCAGCCCGGCGCCTCCGGGGGCGTACATGCCCAGGGGCCGCCCGCCGTCACTCCGCGGTTGCTGCTGGTCGCTGCCTACCTCCGCGGGGTGCGCAGAGCCTGCCTGTTCCAGGGAAGAGACAAGTGAAAAAGGAAGGGCTGCCGGGGCAGACACTGGAGGCTGAGGGGTAAGATCTGGGCCCGAGTGGAGACAGAAGGGCTGCAGGGATTCAGGGGGCGGGGACGGGGTCCCTAGAATGGAGGTGCGGGATGAGGACCAGGAGAGCGCTAGGGGCCGACTGGGAACTGGGCAGACCCGGGGGGTTGGGAGTGGAGGTGTGGGCTGCTGGTGGGAGAGAGACCCGGACACAGGGTCTTGGCCAGAAGGCACGGAGGTGAGAAGGACCAGCCTGGGCCGCGGGGAATCGGGAACCGGGGATCCCGGACTGGCGCTCTGGGGCGCAACCACTGCCCAGAAAGGACCCTCCCCACACCGACCGCTGTTCCTCACCAGTCAGCGGTCCTCAGGGCCGGGATGGCGCCGCTCTGTTCCGTCACGGGCTCCTCAGCTGCCGGGGCCGAGCTATCCCAGGCCCCAAACCCGCAACGCCCGGACCAACCCGGGTACGACCCACTTCCGGCTTCCTTTGCCTTTGCCTCTACCTCCGCCTCCGCCTCCGCCTCCGCCTCCTCGGGCTCCCCGCCCCATCCCCGGACGCGTCACAGTCCGGCGCGCCGCCGGCCTCCTGCGCGGGGCCTCACGGGACTGGTAGTTCGAGGCATTTCCGCGAGGCTCACCGCCGTGGTGGGAGGTCGACTACAACTCCCAGAGGGCAGCGCGGCTGCAGCAGCAAACACTTCCGTTCCCAGAACAACCCGGGCCCTCGGGCGGAAGCGGCCGGAGTGGTGGCCGCAGAAGGCGGAGTGAGTGTCGCGGGTATATTCGTGGTGGGCCCCGCGGTGGGAACTCTGCTACTTCCTCCTAGTGGTTCTGCGCCAGGCCGCCATGAAGGACTCGCTGGTGCTGCTGGGCCGTGTCCCAGCACACCCGGACTCTCGCTGCTGGTTCCTGGCTTGGAACCCCGCGGGAACCCTGCTGGCCTCGTGCGGGGGAGACCGCAGAGTCCGCATTTGGGGCATGGAAGGTAAGGCCTGGCCTTGGCGCGCGACCCCGTCGCCGGGGACTCCAGACTCGGGGGTGCGCGGCAGGCCGACCCTGACTGGGGAACGGCTCAGGGAAAAGGGCGACAGGCCTCCTCGCGGTGGACGTTGCCACTCTGAGACAGACTTTTCTGGCAAGTACTAGAAGCAGAAACGTCAGGAGACAGGCTGGAACTGTGGAGGTAATTGTGATAGTTGCTAAGGCGGGAAAATGAGAAAAGGGCGATGGAAAGTAACCTGCGGAGTAACTTGCGAGGACGGTGAAATTTAAATTTTACCCCGAGGGCATTGGGGAGCCACTGACGGCTCTAAATCTGAAGGGTGACTCCTCAGATTTGTTTCAGAAGGGCGATGCCTCAGAGGAAGTTACTTCTTTCTGAAAGCATGTTGAAGCTTGCCCCCAGGTTAGCTGCAGTATTAGCCTCCATTATCCGTTGGCATTGATAATGTTCTAGTGCCTGGTTGTCCTCTGCTTTTAGGTGACAGCTGGATCTGCAAATATGTCCTTTCCGAAGGCCACGAGCGCACTGTGCGGAAGGTGGCCTGGTCTCCCTGCGGCAATTACCTGGCCTCTGCCAGCTTTGATGCTACCGCTTGCATTTGGAAGAAGATCCAGGATCACTTTGGGGTAACCAGGCTGGATGGGACCAGGATTGTGCTCCTTTGTTTCCCAAGGCTGGTTCAGGAAGTTGAGTCAACCTGGGCCCTTTGGGTTGTACCCATGAAAAGGACCCCACGGGTCTTAGCTGCCTTTGATTCTTGACGCTTTTCCCTTTTCAGTGTGTAACCACTCTGGAGGGCCATGAAAATGAGGTCAAGTCAGTGGCCTGGGCCGCATCTGGCAACCTCCTTGCCACCTGCAGCCGAGATAAGAGTGTGTGGGTCTGGGAAGGTGAGTCCAGGTCCCTCCAGGTGCAGTTGGGAGCCCGCGGACAGACATCCCGCTCTGACCCTGACGGGGTTAGCTCATGAGCTCCCTTCTTATTTCCTCCCGCAGTTGATGAAGAAGATGAGTACGAATGTGTCAGTGTCCTCAACTCCCATACACAGGATGTCAAGCATGTGGTCTGGCACCCGAACCAGGAAGTAAGAGTCCGGCAGAGTATCTTGGTGGGAAGGAGTTCTAGTGTGGAGGCTGTGCCCAGGCCTCTGCTCTTCCGCCTCAGCCTGGTTTTTAGGGATCGCTGTCTGTGACCAAAAGAGAGACAGTTCCCTGGAATGTCCTGTCCTAGCAGGGAGAAGTGTTTGGACCACAGGCACTTCCTGGGCATAAATGCTATTTCCCTGTGTCCCCAGCTGTTAGCCTCTGCCAGCTATGATGACACAGTGAAGCTCTACCGGGAGGAAGAGGATGACTGGGTATGCTATGCCACCCTTGAGGGCCATGAGTCCACTGTGTGGAGCTTGGCCTTTGACCCCAGTGGTCAGCGTCTGGCTTCTTGCAGTGACGACCGCACAGTGCGCATCTGGCGCCAGTATTTACCAGGCAACGAGCAAGGTGAGGGACCGGGAGTGGAGCTGAAGGAGCCTGTCTGTGAGGTTGACAGTCTTTCAGGGCTGAGACTACAGATAAAGCGCAGCAGATTGGGGCAAAAGGGGGGATGTGCCGCCAGAGGGCGCCAGGAAGTGCTGGTGGAATAGGGGAAGGCTGCATGGAAGGGTGCCTTGGATTTTAACATGACTAGAATGCTGGGTGAAGACAGAACAGTGCGAGCAAAGGCATTAAAGGTGGGAAAGCCTAGACTTAACCAGAAGAGTGAGTCCTTTAGGTGGAGCACAGGGTATGAAGGGTTTGGAAGAAGTAAGGTGGGTGGGGCTGGCAGGTGGGTGGCCTTCAAAGGCAGGCTAGTCAGTTTGCCGCAAAAGGGTTTTGAAAGAACGGGACATTTCCTTCTCAGAATTCTGCTGTAAAAGTACCAGTCAGGTCATGGTGTGTGAGGCAGATCAGTGAGGAATGAAGATGGGGCCTCATGAAGAAGGGCAATTAGGGTCTCCTGTGCAGTGGGGCAGTTACTTCTTGAGGTATTCAGGACACAGACGTGTTTTGGACTCAGGAGAAGTCTGTCATTCAGGGGTGGCATGCAGCGGCTCTGATCCCAGCTGGAAGTGTATCTGCACTTTGTCAGGCTTCCACTCCAGGACCATTTACGACGTCGCTTGGTAAGACCTTCATCTCCAACCCTCATCCCCACCCACACCCCCTCATTTGTAGAGGTTTTAAAGAAGTCAGACCAGTGCTGCTCTATCCCCTTTGGGGGTGCATGGGAACAGAGAGTAGCACCCTCACTTCTTCAGAACAGGCCAGACTATGCACCCTGCTGGCTTAGAGCTGGCCGCCCGGTCACAGGACCCGGAACAGACTTAGGTCCAGGCCTGTACCTTACATCAAGCTCCCAGGCTGTGAGAGCAACACCAGCCTTTGGGGGCAGGGGGAGAGGGGGGCGAGGCGGGAATCACACAGCATCATACCATCCAGAAATATTATTGTAACTGTGGGTTCATGACGGGGGTTGTATAGTTTGTGACACTGGCTCTGCCCTTATGGAGTCTAGAAAAACCACACCATTTACGTGGGACAGTCAGAGGGCAGTTCTGGCCCAAGAACCTAGACCTAGGAAATAATCCTAAGTAGTGAGAAAAGTTGATTGCACCTAAGCTTTGTTTACATTAGCAAATATTTGGGAATAACAAAAACAGACTTCAGTGAAGTATGGTAGTATTCATCGGTCTGTTACATCTGTTTGAAAAACTGAGTAAACTTCATGACAAGAGAAATTATGCTAAGTGACAAAAGTACAATTCAGAATCACGTAGTTGTTTAGGTTAATTATAATGGGGGTAAACCTAGATGGCAGCACTTGAAGACTTAGGGGGTGATGTTTGTGGCTGTATATTAGTTAGAGGAGCCCTCAATAAGACCTTAGCTGAAGCCTGAACATGGGAAGAGAGCCAGCCTGGGACTGTAGTCCCTTCTACTTGACTTGCTGGGTTGGGGAGGAAGGAGCCACTAGCATCCACACTGATGGCACACGTTCCTCCCAGGTGTCAGCTGACTGGGGCGCTAGCTACAGCCTGTGGGGACGATGCCATCCGAGTGTTTGAGGAGGACCCCGGCTCAGACCCTCAGCAGCCCACCTTCTCCCTGACAGCCCACTTGCCTCAGGCCCATTCCCAGGATGTCAACTGTGTTGCCTGGAACCCCAAGGAGCAGGGACTCTTGGCCTCCTGCAGTGATGATGGGGAGGTGGCTTTCTGGAAGTATCAGCGGCCTGAAGGCCTCTGAGCCACCTGACTCTGGTTCCCCAGGAAACGTCCAGGACTCTCCTTGCCCGAGAGGACCTGGAGGAGCATCCTGGCTTTCGATGAACTTGGCTCTTGGATTTGGAGCTGGGTAGCCGTGCTGGGCCACAGAACCACTCCCTCCCCTTCTTGACACAGGCCCTGGTGGAGAGCTACGAACAGCGGCACTTTGTGACTGTGCCACAGATTCTGCTTTAGGACCCAGTGTTCAAGTTTGGGGGCGTAAATATAACATTTGTGATCACTGTATCTATTAGGAGGGCTGTACCTCAGACCTTTCTGAAATTGTAAGCTTTATAAAAAAATCCATCTGGGGGTTGGCCGTTAGCTCACTTGGTTAGAGCACAGTGCTCATAACACCAAGGTTGCCGGTTCGATTCCCACGTGGGCCACAGAGGTGTGCCCTCCACAACTAGATTGAAACTTGACTTGGAGCTGATGGGTCCTAAAAACAAAACAGTGTTCCAGGGCCGGCCGAGTGGCTCAGTTGGTTAAGAGCTCACTCACGAGTTTGAGCTCTGAGTAACAGTGGTTCAAGTCCCAGCCCAAGCTGAGCAGCTGCTGAGTTGCCAACACGTGGCAGGATGACTCAGCTAAAAAAGAAAAAAAACAAAAAAAACCCCACCAAAACACCGTTCCCCAGTGGAAAAAAAAAAAATAACCCATCTGAGTCCCAAGTCCTTTTTATGTCATTAGGACATTGACAACTTTAAACAATTCCATGGTGAGTCCTTTTTCTGAAATAGGTCCTGCCTTCCTGATTTCTGGGGAGATCGTTGAATTTAAGATGTTCAGTCAACACTGAAAATTTTTTAATGTTGGGTGGTTTAGAGAGACACCTCTGCTTTCCCTTAGAAGCCCTCATGTACCTCCTGTGCCCACAGGGAATGCTGGGAAATACATGGGAAAGACCTGAACCCTAAAAGGGAGTTATTGGCCACAGGCCATCATTCTAAATGGGGCTGAAAAGTGGATGGGGGACAAAAAAATCTTAGACATAGGGCCAGCTGAGGGGCTCAGTTGATTAAGAGCTCGCTCAAGAGTGCAAGCTCTGAGCAACAGGGTTGCCGGTTCAATTCCTGGCCTGGCTGAGCTGCCAACGGGCAGGATAGCTCAGCTAAAAAAATTATATCTTAGACAATAACCTGTGGCCCTGTAAGGGACCACAGTACCTAGTACATGGTATATGTGGTATTAACTTTCCATGGTGAAGGCAGGTAAGACAAAGATATGATAAGCCTTCTTAGGGGAGAGAAGATGAAAAACGGTAAGAGAGTCACTGTCAGGCAGTTTTTCCATCTCCAGTTCTGATAGTCAATTCCGTATACAAGTAGGTTTGACTTGACTGTCCCTAAAGCTACAGCCTTCACTGAATTTTTGATACCACGGAAATCAAGACCGTAGGTTGTGGAGACAGCTGGGGCAGTACCTAGAATGGTTCTCAAAATGTGCTCTGCACATCCCCGGGGGTCCCGAGAGCCTCTCAGATCTGAGGTCAGCAGTTGGCAACTTGGCAGGAACCACGGCAGTAGCACCAACTAGTCAGTCTTCACCACCAGCTTCCCTTAGGACTGTCCCTTCATAGAAGCAGTACAAATTGTATTAAATCTTGACCCGGGGGAATTGCCATGTTCCTTGCCGATGGCAGCATGCGGAAAGCACGGTTAAGTGTGTCGAGGAAAAGCAGTTATGCAGCTGAGTTGCAAGCTGAATTAGGTGTGTTCTTTGGTGTACCATTTTTATGTGAAAGTAGCGGCAAATTATTGACTATTTGGCAGATGTTTTCTGGGAAACGAGCCTTTCAGAGTTTCAAGGGAAATTGGTAGCGTTGCCAATAATAAAGTTTTCAAGCAAAAATCAGAATTTTGGAGAGCTTGTATTCCCACCATGAGTGATATTTTCCCAGTACTTGTGATGAGTTCAGTGGTGATATTAACTAATGTGATTGTATGATGAAATCGATCAACATTTGGAAGATCTACATGATTGAACCAGCATTTTCCAGGTGATGAACACGGGACTTGACGAAATCATGAGCAATATAGACCCGCGGGTCTTTTTTTTTTTAAGATGTTTTTATTGGGGAAGGGGAACAGCCAAGTTGTCCTTCAGTCTTAGTTGTGGAGGGTGTAGCAAACTCAGCTCCAAGTCCAGTCGCCTGTAAGCATCTCACGGCCGCTCAGCTCAAGGTGCCATGTTCAATCTTAGTTGCAGGTGAGCAAAGCCCACCATCCCATGCGGGAGTCAAACCGGCAACCTTGTATTTAGGAGCACGTGCTCTCACCAGCTGAGCCATCCTGCCACCTGTTGGCAGCTCAGCTCGGGCGCAGCTCACTGGCTCATATGGGAATCGAACCAGTGACCCGGTTGCTCAGAGCTCATGTTCTTAACCAACTGAACCACTCGGCCAGCCCTTCGACCTGTGGGTCTTAATGGAACAATCTGGAAAGCTCACTGATGAGGTTTCAGACCCCACATTGCCTGTAAGAAACTACCACTGTCGGGTCTGGGCTGCAGTACTAAATAGTGGTGGTTTCTTAACAGGCAATGTGGAGTTTGAAACCTCATCACTGAGCTTTCCAGACTGCAACTCAGTGCAGCACAGTGTTGGTTCCTGCAGAGGTGCTGACACCTGGGTAGCAGCGGGGATCAGGGTTAGTGACCAAAGAGAAGCTGCCTTACATCTCCCTCCATACAGGCCAACTGAAGAGCATCTTGTCCTCTGCAAGTGTTCATTCTAAGCAAGTTCAGTAAAAATCTTTTGGGGCCGGCCGAGTGGCGCGATGGTTAAGAACTGGCTTGGGACACCAGAGGGCCCCGGTTTGGATCCCACATATGAGGGCCAGTGACACTGCCCTCTACAGCTAAGATGCTGAACAACAGCTCAACCTGGAGCTGGGCTGCCATGAGTTGACGGCGACGGCGTAGGCTGCAGCCCGTGGCAGTGGGTTGCCATGGGCTACTGTGTGTAGCCAGCAGCCAGCGTGAGCGGCCAGCAGCCGCAGTGAGTGGCCATCCAGAAGCCGGTGACTGATGTGCCTCTCCCGGGAAGAGCGCAATGATGGTGCCAACTTGGGCCAGTGAAGCAACATCCTCCACACTAGACTGAAGAACAAAAGGACAGCAACTTGTCTGTTCCCCTTCCCCCGATTCCCCAATTCAAAACAAAACAAAACAAAAAATCTTTTTGACCAAGGGCCTTAAGTTAGAGAAAGGAAACAATTTGGAATCACTGCAATGACAACGGTTTCTCCAACTTATTTTATTAGAATGTCAGACTCTTAAAAGAACTACCAAGGATGTACCTGCAACTGCTGTACATAGTTTACACCTGACAGCTACCAGATAACTGGAAGACACTGGAGCCAAAGTGGGTGACAAGGCAGTAAGGAGGGGAATGTGGAGGAGGCAGGCTGGGGGGTACCTGCCCTGCCTGGCAGCCCGCACGCCCCCAGTCCTGTCTGCACAGCTGTAACCCATGTCCTGGATTCAGGCCCAGCTCTACAGAGCGAAGCCCTGCATTCAATCCGAGTCACTGTCTGTCTCAGCTTCTTTCACGTCCACGCTGAACTTGTATTCCTGGTCACATCCCATGTAAGCATCACTCATGAAATACAGAGTGTAGTTGTGGGCGCCAGTGGCTGGGGCCACAAAGTCGAGCTTCACCTGGAGAGAGCAGGAGGAGTTGGGGGGAGTCCGATGGGGGAGCACGCTCCTGCCCCACCGCTGCCTCAGATGTTGGGCCAGTGGACACTCACCTTGGCCTTCTGCTGCAGGGTCAGCCTCTTGATGGAGATGAGGCTATTGGACTTGGCATCTCCGATCACCACCCACCAGCCCTCTTCACGTTTCTGCAGTGACCAAAAGCCAAGAATTTCACCACATAAAACTTGACAGCAATGAGACCATAAGGTAGTTAAAAAAGTAGGAAAACAAAAATCAGATAGGAAGCTTTCTAGAATTCCCTCATGAAATACAATCTGATACAACAAAGCTCTTGAAACTGTCACAAGGTATCTCAAATGAACAGTTTTTAAGCAGTATGTGGACTCATTTGTTGGTTCTGGCTCATGTCCTCGTCCCAAAGCATCTGTCCCATGTAGTGCTAGCCACTGCATCCAAGATCCCTCTATCTGAGAGCTCGTCTTAGGGGGCTGGCAGCTGAGTTCCTCAGCGGCCCTTTGAAGGCACATGTGCCAGATGATCACAGCCTGAGCGTGGAGAGCCTGCCCACAGAGATGATCCTAACTGGGCCTTGCCTCTGTCAAGACACCCATGTTGGCCACTCCACCATCAGAAAGCCCAAGTATTCCATTTCAGAGCACGCCTTCCTCGGAGCACATTACACTAGTTTGTCAAGTTAAACATCATACGGTGTATCTGGTTTCTGCCCGATTTTCTTTCTTGTGGTAAAATGTCAGGTAACTGGAAGCACAGTAAGTGGCAGTGAGAAATGAGAGAAAAAACAGCTAGGAAAGCCCAACTGTCCTACATTCAGTGACAATGCACAGTGTACTCTGACTCTCGCCATGAAGGCCTCTAACAGACACCTGAAAAAGGCAGCTGACAAGTACCTGTGGAAAAAGAGGCGCAATCACGGGGCCTGTTACTTCCTCCTCTCGCTCCAGCTGCACCAACACCACGACCGGCCCACCACTGGGGGAGAAAAGCAGAGCAGCACCTCAGCACCGTGGCAGCAGGGACCCGGGGCAGGGAGCTGGCCAGCCCTCTGGCTCACCTGCGGATGGCGTCCTTGTCCACCACCTCATAGGACAGCTCGATATTAGGGTAGCGGTTACAGAATCGGGCCACGTCCGCCATCTGGCTGTCAGACAGCTGCAGCAGCGCGTTCCGCTCTTCATCCTCCATCTCCATGATGTCAAAAACGCTCTCCACTCCCTGCAGTGGACATTCGGGGTCAGGGGGAGAGGACACGCTCACAGCCAACGAAACAGGCTCCGAGAGGCTGCCAGTTCCTGCCCTGTGATCACTACCGAGCAGGCCTCAGAGCACCGCCGATGACCACCAGTTGCGATCTCTGACATCTCAGTCAACACTTTCAGAGGCACCAGAACTAGAAGCCCCCTGCGACACCTGCCCCCAGCACCTGCCCCAGTCCAGGACCCTCAGCTCTCAGATGCAGCCGGAGCTCACCTTGTCTGTGCACCGTTTGATGTGCTCTGAGGTAAAGTGTGGCAGCTGTTTCAGGTATGAGTCCTTGGACCACATGGCCTGGGTGACCATCTGGG